GTAATAATATAACTTCAATACTAATATTACGGAAGTAATAATTACAATTTCAAATTTACTCTAACTCAAGCTATTTGCTTTTCATTTAAAAATTTCTCATAAAAGGTATTTACATTTTTCGGAGAGAAATGTTTGTTTAGTACAGAGTGGCACCTTAGTAGGATGTGATAATTACAGTTGCTAAAAGAAGGAAAATTTATAAATGTCACTTCAAAATTATTTTTACTGTGATCAGTATGTTCCATTTTACTTCATGATGATTTCCAAAAGTTCTGAAATTGGTTTCTTTATCTTGCTCTCTGCTCCCCTGTTATTAAATATATTTTATTATATTGCATGTAATTGACAGAATGTTAATACAATTTACTTTTAACACATATTTTTGTAGTCACTTTTATTCCCCCCACTCATATAAGTTTCATTTGGATTAAAAAGTTGTTTTTTTGAGAGAAAATTATTTTTCTGGAGATTTTCTAGTTATAATGAAATAATTTCATCTAGTACTTTTATTTCCTAGCTGCATTAATTCTTACAGAATTTATTTTACTGCTTTTAATAAGGAATATTGAAATTTAATTTTAAAAAACTTGAGTAGATTATTATACAGTTATTGTGCAAGACTCTTGTCTCCCAGTAGGTCAGAGATAAGTTTGCGAAGTTACAACACTAAAACCCGGTGTTCGATTCCTCGCGTTGTACAGCACATAGATAGTCATTGTGTAAAATAAAACAGAACAAAATAAGTAGGAGTGACAAGAGCAATGTAAAATAACTTGATTTCCTGTTAAGTAAGCTCTTTAGTAACACTGCAATGTATGTATATATGTATGTATGGCTTTTAGAGAAAAATCATCTTTAAGTGACAATGGTAGTAATTTATTTACTTGGTGACGTTTCGAGGAAACGCTCCTTTTCAAGCGGAAACAAGCCTGTCGGTTAATTACTACCATGACTTAAAGGTGTTTTTCTCTAAAAGTCTAATTTCTTTATTTAATCACCTTCGCCTTTTTTTACTGATATATATATGTGTGTCTGTGTGTGTATTTATATGCTGAGTAGTTTGTAAACTTGTACTCTATGTCCTGTTGCTCTGATGTGCGGTTGGTTATTAGGCTGTATCTGCTATTGTAAGTTTGCTCTTCCATAGCATCACCCACTGGTGAGTAATGTAGTTAGTGCCTGTTAGTTAGAATCTCACATAGTGCACACGTGTTATGATTATAAACTCTGATTAAACATGCATGGCTATAAGAAACTCATCTGTATGTATATTGTTAAAGCGTGACGTAAGTAAGAGTGGTGTAAGGGAGACAGAACCTTGAGAAACAGGTTTATTAGAAGAAAGTTCAGGACGAAGAGACCTGAGGCGGCGACCTTTTTGTATGGTGTTCCTACCCTAACTGATAATTAAGAAGTCGTAGTGAGAAGTAGGCGATGGAGACAGGCAGTCACTTGCAGAGCACTACTTCGAGTAGACACATAGAGTAAAAGAGGGTGGAGGCGGGTGGAAAGACAAAATGAACACAAGTTCAGCTGGCTTTAAGCCCCCACCTTTTACACTTGTTGGCACGCCGCCTTAATTTGGTGCTACACCTTTCGAGATGAGGTTACTACCTCAGCAAATATACCCTAAATAGAAGAAAGATAAAGTCACAATAACAAATACCAACTATGGTGCCACTTACTTCCCCCCCCCCCTACTCTCGTGTTGTTGAGGTTGAGCTCAATGTCTGTTAACCGACAACGGATTAATTAAGACGACTGTGCCATAAAGACTGCTAATAGTACATGTTAAATGCAAGTGTGATGACTGCATTGTTTGATCATTTAAAACTAGTGCTATTATGATTATCTGCAAGTAAACACATATTTTATAACAACAGTTGTAGTTCCGTGACTTCCTTCAAGTAAATTATGACCAAAAAATCATGACAGATGTGTCATGTAAATTTTAAAATTTTACTTTCTAAATCTTCGAAATCTTTATTTTCTTTTAGAATAACGATTTAAATATTTATTAATATTCTCTGACCAAAATTAAGTTAACCCTTCAGATCAGACCTAAAATAAGTAGCATATATATTGATGAAGGCAAGTCTATAAAACAAACTGACAACACGTACATAATATCATAAACCATAACATAAAACTAAAACCTGTTAATAATAGTTTCAGCCGTAATCCCAATATCACTGCACGAGGATCAGCCAGTTTCGAAGGCTTATGCTAGTCCTAAATCTACACACTAAGCTAACAAGATTAAATGATATTCATAAGTATAAAGTTAATAAAAATAATCAGTAATAATAATAACATTCGAAAGCATTTTTGACATTACAATCAATAATATTAATGGCATTAACTTTAGAGAAAACTGATGTGTGTGTGTGAGTGTGTGTGGCTTTTTTAACCGGCGATATGGTAACTTATATTAATTTAGATGTGTGAATAACGCTACGGCATTGCACCTAATTTAGTATTAATATAGTAATAAAGAATAACTAGTTGTTTGGTCCAACAATAAAAATGCTTATAGTTTTTTCTCAACACTAATCTATTGTAGAAGGTTTTATTTGTTTATTTAGAGCAAACCACATTAGGCCGTCTGCTGTGTCTACCGCGAGGAATAGAACTCCAGATTTTAGCGTTGTAAGTTCGTAGGCTTACCACCGGAGGACAAACCAAACAATAGATTAACCTCTACGTCATTCATGAATTATTTCTTCACTGAAGTTACACGTTTTGGCGAAGAAAAGAAAAAATCCAGAATAAATGAAAATGTTTCTGTTTTAGTGGCCTATCTGCGCTAAGTCTACTATGAGGAATTGAACTCCGGATTTTATAATTATAAATCCGTAAACTTACCGCTGATCCACTGGGGAAAAAATAGATATGTACAGCTGTTAGTTTTAATATCCTAGACCTACATTAATTGTTATATCATTTACGGAATCAAGACACCTGCTATTTGTTTATCGTGTATTACATTATTAAATAATGCCTTTTTCTGATGTTTGTAGTTTTGTGTGAGTCTGTGAATCACACTCTTGACTATAATATGTTTCAAACTGGACCACATAGAAATATATCAAAACACAAATGTGGCATATGCTTAAATTGTAATACGTATTCTTTAATTCCACCCCTTTCACCGAAGCTCTTGAGATTCCTGTATTCGATTTGGACTTAAATGTTTTCAGTTGTATGACGTTTCCGCTAAACAACCATACGAGATTTCATACTAAGTAAATATTTCCTATTTTTATGTTAGAAAGTGTTTTGTATTTCATTCCAAATAGCATTAAATCGAGGGTTGCTCATCATGGTTCTTACACAGCACCTTAAGGACTATATCATGGAAAACCACCACTCGGTGGATTATTTGCGAATTTCATCCTCCCTCTCTTTTTTTAAAGTCTGAGTATACTGAAGCTGGGGGGAGGGGGGAGAACGACTGCGAAGCTTATTAGCTCTGACATTTATATCTTGTTCAAGTCTTTTTCTCCTTTTATGAACTTACTTAATAACTTCACAGAAGTAGTACCAACATTATTTTTTATTCTAGCCCCTCTAATAACACCTAGAGTATGTAGCCTTTCATGTCGTATTAGAGTTAGAAAATGCACGTATAATGTCTAAACACTTAATGATCCAGGGTTGTTACAGTTCAAATCCTAGAATATCGGAAAAGCTACAACAAAATTATATCTTGGAGACACTAAAATATTTTCATTAACTCTGCGGATGGAATATAGTAAAGGTACATAAGTATTCTGTTTGGGATCAAAATTAAGTTGTTTTTAGTGAGTTTTCACTTTAAATAATACCCTACATTTTCACAGTTTTAATAAAGTTTGACTCTAATGACAATGATTATTAAGAACGTCTGATGGCAAGTAAACTAAATGTAAAGAAATTTCAAGCGGCAGTTGGTACCACATACTATTGTGTGTAAACAATGGAGAGCTTAGTATCTGTTTCTAATGCATACGGCCCGGCATGGCCAGATGTTTAGTGTGGTTTGTTGTTGTTAAGCATAAAGCTACAAAATAGGCTGTACGTGTTGGGTTCACTACTGTTATCAAATGTACCAATGATCCACTGGGGGCTACTGACACTGAAACTATTCATAATTTAACTCAAAATAATTTATATGGTGAGTACATCTTAATTTTATAATTAATAACTGGTCCCCGAATAGTCTAAGGTAGAATAAGAGTAAGTTTGCTCGGAATTTATTACATGTCATGTTTATATATAGTTACGGCCCGGCATGGCCAGGTGGTTAGGGCGCTCGAATCGCAATCTGAGGGTCGCGGGTTCGAATCCCCATCCCAACGAACATGCTCGCCCTTTCAGTCGTGAGGGTGTTATAATGTTACGACCAATCCCATTATTCGTTGGTAAAAGAGTAGCCCAAGAGTTGGTGGTGGGTGGTGATGACTAGCTGTCTTCCCTCTAGTCTTTCACTGCTAAATTAGGTACGGCTAGCGCAGATAGCCCTCGTGTAGCTTTACGCGAAATTCAAAACAAACAAACAAACAATCTAATGCATGCCAGTATCCGTAACAATGGGGCGTATAGTAAAAAAGTTAAATTAAGACAATATCTATAACAGGGGAGAATACAGAGTCAGTCTGAAATTCATTCACGTGTCTGAAAACGCGTATTTGTAAAATTGATTATTCGTCCTACGTTTTTCGATACTTTAACTGTTGCTCTAGGTTAACTTACAAACTACAATAGGCTTGGTGAAGTTAACTTGATAAAACTGATCATATATCATGTTCCTAGACTTTGTATGAAATTCACAAAGCCCAGAATTTAATATTCATTTCAATAGTTCTCACAATTTAGTATGAATTCGCGAAAATACTTTTCTGTCGTATCGATGTCACTTTCTCTTCGCTGTCGTATTGTAATTTTGTTCTTTATGAAAACAAAAAAAAGAAGAAAAGGACATAAGCCTTATTACTGATATCTGTTTTTGTTTCCAACAGCTGACCCGGTCATTCTTCAAGACGTCTTAACATGTGGCGTGTGCCAGGAAGACTTTGCCTTATCAGATATCGTAAAATTCATCCAGCACAAAGTGCATAATTGTAATAAGGAAAACTGTGCATATTATAATGGTGGCGACATTGATGGACTTAGAAAGAATGATGATAGTAGTAATGCCTTTCAATTAAGGCAACCAACCATATCCGCTACGATTTGTAAAATGGACCTTGCGTTGTCAAGTTTTCCAAATAAACTCGAGGAGACTTGTCGCAATCCAGTATTGGCTTTAGAACCTTTCAAGGACTCCAGAGCTAGAACCAGTCCTGATTCTGTTCAATTAAAGAACACCTTGTCCACCGACCCAGAAGGAACTCTCAAGGAGAACAGAAGTAATTCCGAAGAACCATCATCTCCGGTAGAGGGCGCGCACCAACAGGGACGTGTGGTAGATGCAGATACTAACACGACCTCCACAGGTTAGCACCAACATGGTTTTATGTAAAGTGATTACGACTTGTAAGCATTGATATGTTTTGCTTTATAAGCCCACACTCTTAAGTTAAATTTTAAACATCAATGTTCATTTGTTTTGTGAAGATACTGCAAAGTTTGGACTAAAGTGGATCCTTGCACAAACAAGAAAGCAATTTTATTTGACGCCAAATTGATTTTAGGAGAATATCGGATACAGAATAATGGGTGATAAAAAAAACTGTTCATGAGAAAGTTTTGTTGTTTCAGAGAGTTACTTCTTAACTTGGCGTTTCACGATGAACCGGTTGGGGACAAAATATCGAAATGTACAGTGGGCGGGACAAAAAAAACTGTTCATGAGAAAGTTTTGTTGTTTCAGAGAGTTACTTCTTAACTTGGCGTTTCACGATGAACCGGTTGGGGACAAAATATCGAAATGTACAGTGGGCGGGACAAATGTCGCTATAAAGTTAGCGCTAATACAGAAAATATTACCTATACTTTTACAAGGCTATAAGGTTATGGTTTATTAGCATTTTAATGACTCTAATATGAACTGTGCTTTACTTTCACAAGGTATGGTTTATTAGCATTTTAATGACTCTAGTATGAACTGTGCTTTACTTTCACAAGGTATGGTTTATTAGCATTTTAATGACTCTAGTATGAACTGTGCTTTACTTTCACAAGGTATGGTTTATTAGTATTTTAACAGCTCTAACACAGCTCTTGCTTTTACACGGTTGTGGTTTATTAACACTTTAATGACTCTAGCATGAACTATATTTTACATTTATAAGGTTATGTCTCATTAACGTTTTAATTACTCTGGCACGAACTGTGTTTTGGTTTTACAAGGTTATAGTTTATTAATATTATAATGACTCTAGCACGAACTGTGTTTTGGTTTTACAAGGTTGTGGTTTATTAACACTTTAATGACTCTAGCATGAACTAGGCTTTACGTCTAACTAGCTTATTAAAACACGTTTTCTTGATTGAGTATTACTGGTGCTAATGTTTTTCCACGAAAGGTAAGTGAGTACATCATTTCCATAAAGATAATCAGTGATGTGGGCACTTTATAAATCTAGGTTAATTGGCATAACTCAATTGACTCAATAAAAGAAAGGCTCAAATGTCAATTTGTGCAAGAATGAATGAGCACAAAATTATACTAATTTGTTTTTGTTTTGTTTGTACACATATTTATCATATAATGCTTTTCGATGTGCACTAAACGGTTTGTTATGGATCATACTAGTCCAAATACTTGTTTATTATTGAGTTGCTGTTTGAAATGCAGAGTCTCAGTTTATATGTTAGATTAAATGAAATATGTGATTCACCCCCCCCCCTTGAAGCACATTTTTTATGTTTTTCAACACCTCACTTCGTTATATGTACGTCGAAATATGAAAAAGCTTGACAAGTTGTTCTACTTCATAAAAAATTAATACTACAGGAGAATAGGTTCTCTACGAAGTCCGGTAATTAATTTTCACTAGTATGTATAGAGGTTGAGTAAGTTATATTATAACGATTTTGAATATGTATGACTGGACGTAAAGAAACGGACTGTATTTGTACAGTGAGGTCCAAAATCGTTTTCATACAACGCACTGAACCTATGTAATCCCTTCCTTATATTATCTAACTGTAGTGTTCACGAAAAACAAAGTGTAAGCCGATACTGTTATACATATATATCATTGTAACAAACTGTAAGCCGATACTGTTTTATATATACATATATATCATTGTAACAAACTGTAAGCCGATACTGTTATACATATATATCATTGTAACAAACTGTAAGCCGATACTGTTATACATATATATCATTGTAAAAAAACTGTAAGCCGATACTGTTATACATATATATCATTGTAACAAACTGTAAGCCGATACTGTTATTGTAACAAACTTGAGAACAAGATACAAAATACATTTAGTGACGCTTATGATTTCTGTGATATTAGCCTAGTTTGCTGGTTCGCCAGTTCTTATGAATCATAAAAAAGTTTATTAAAATAAAATAATTGAAATAAATAATCTGTGTTAAAAATAAATTAAATAAATGATATTGAAACATAAATCTTACCCTACAAATGTCACTTATAAGTTATTTAAATAAAATTAATAATAATTACAATTCACTTACTTAATCAAGTTCTCACCGTAACAGTCGTAGCTCATGAAGATTGAAGATATAAACAGCGCCTAGACCGCCACTACATCTATAGTATCCCACCCGGCCTAACAAGCCAAGAAATTGGGAAATAGCTTCGTCGGTAATAGATATGACAGATATAGGGCAGTTAACATAACATAACCATCTCTGTTGTGTCTCATGAATTCTTAGAATACACTTGAGTGAATATTTAACCTGCGAAACAATTAATTTGATTAAACAAACGTGACATTTCATGAGTGATATAATTTAAAAAGATATTGTCCGTTTCTCTTTTTTGCGAAAATATGTATTCTGAACAAATGTAATTATGTTATGATACAGCATATATTCTTCATACCAGAAAAATGCCCCCACGTGGCACAGTAGTATATCTGCGTACTTATACTGCTAGAAACCGGGTTTCGATACCCGTGGTCGGCAGAGCACAGATAGACCTTTGTGCTTAATAACAAACAAACCGGAAAAATATAGCACCGCTATTGCCGACAATGAACAAAGACGTATGGATATAACTGTAACGTAATGAAATAAACTTGACACTCTATTATTACTAGTGTTATTTTGATCAGCACTTTCATTACAGGTTCCATTTTAAATATGTCATTTTTTCTACACTTTACATTATTGCTGGAGTCATTAAAACCGACGACATTTTTTACCGGACATTATGCTAACTATTCATTAATCTTGCTACTTTAATGAAGAAAAACAGTAAATTATTCCACAATGTGAGGAGAAAATAAAATATCACACAGGTTCTTGTCACACGAAACTATAGATGTGGGTTTTGTTTGTTGTTAAGCGCAAAGCTATACAATGGGTTATCTGTTCTGTACCAACCACGGACGCTCGACTTGCAATCTGAGGGTCGTGAGTTAGAATCCCCGTCCCACCAAACATGCTCGCTTATTCCGACTTGGGGGGTATTATAATGTGACGGTCAGTCCCACTATTCGTTGTTAATAGAGTAGCTCTAGTCTTTCAGTGCTAAATTAGAGACGGCTAGCGCATATAGCTCTCGTGTAGCTTTGCGCGAAATTCAAAACAAACCAAGCCAACCATGGGTATCAAAACCCAGTTTAAAGCCTTCAGACTTAACACTGAATCACTAGGTGCTCATAGATGTGGTAAAAATTTTCTAAAACTCCACAACACCTTTTTTGGCTTTCTTAATGTTTATTTGTTTAAATTCTGGCTAATAACGTGTTGCATAGTGTAGCAAATATTTTAAATGTTTCAACTATTTGTAGACAAACAATAAAGAAAAACATTTAAGAGTATAAGGTTCGAAAATATCCCATTTTCGAGCTTCTTTACCTGTTATAAAAAAGCATTTTATCAAATTTAGTAAATAGAAACACAAAAGTGAGCTTTTATAGATATATTCAAAATTCCAACACTTTACGGCTCTCAATTGGAAATGAACGATTACATTTCAATTTCCAGACAAATTAATGAGAAAAACATATGTATAGCAATTTCAGTTGAACGTATTAGTAATAAAATAATTTGCATTTCTTTATTTCTTGTGATAATAGCATCTGAAGAATATCAAGCTATGATTATGTTTTATGTTGTCTGACAACATGCTGGTTTTTCACTTGTGAAACATGTAACACCACACATGCTTCAACTCGACATGACTAGCAACATATCGTCTTCTCCGCAACTATTAGGTTTCGGTTTTCTGGTATATAGGACTTTACATGGAGCTGTTAGTCTTAACCTAATACCCTCGTCATGACAAAACTACTACTGTAGTGTATTTAATTACCAACAAACTAATTTACTATACTGTCGTAAGGAGGAGATAAGTTTAATTCACGGAACTAAGAAAACACCGAATGGAAACCAGATAATTCCCAGTTCACCCCAAAAACAATAAGATCTGCTTATTAAAAAGGCTCCGCTTATTGGATTTCTTTCATCCATATTTATACATTATTATTCCATATGATACAATTCAGGAAGGCTACAAAATTTAATCAAAGCTATTCATTGTCAGTTAGTCACGACAGGTATGGAAACGATAAAGTTTCGTATTAAATTAAGCAATTGCTAGGTCTTATGATGTATTGTAATTACAACGCTGAATATATTCACATTCTTTAATTGCTTTTTCTCGTGCAAGACTGAACAATTATTCTTAATTTGTTGATACGGATATACAAGTCTCACGTCATATGGCTCTTAAATTTTCTTAACTTTAAAAAATTATGTATTCACGTATTTTCTGGGGAGGAGCTCAGAAAAAAAAAACTGTAAGCGACGTCATTGATAATGATAGATGTCATATTGAAGGATTGAGTCAGAAACGTTATGCCTGAACTCAAATACACTATTATTGAAATCGAAGTTGACGTCATATTAAAAAAATATAGAACAAATCTAATTTTCGTTACTCCTAATGGCGGGGAACCCCTCCCTTGTCTTCCATACCCTTATGTTGTACAGGCTGTGATATATTTTCCAATAAAACATGGCTTCACTCAGACCAGGTATTACTTCGCTTAGATCGAATGACTATCATAGCACGTCATTTTAAACTGTAAGCTAAAATTAATTCGTCTTTGTTACCTTTGTTTATTTCTGAGACTTACTCAGATATTGCATAAATCAGTGTTTATCACAACCAAATGTATTACACGGAATCCTCATAAGTGCAGCCTTATTATTTAACTCGGTTTCTGCTACTATATATATACTACTAGTAACTACACACGCTCGACAACATACATTCATACAAACAAGGAAGGAGTCATCACAGAAGTTTTGAAACTGTACAGACGATTTAACAGCAAAATA